TTTCCCTAAAAAAAAAGCTGGCAAGTTCCTATTTGCCAAAAAATCTCCTACTGGCTCAAGAAAACTGCAATTTTTTTTTTGTTTCCTTGCATTCTCAATCTGGCGTTACACAGTTGGTTGGTTGACTTAGGAGTGCTTCTTAGGTAACGTTTGGAAAATCATATGGAGAAGAGAAGTCTGAATGAGTGCTTGTCGATCCTCGAGTTCTAAGGTTAACCAACCAACTGAATTCTTCCTTTTTCAAAACTTTGGGTTAAAAGAGGATTTTCCCTAAAAAAAAAGCTGGCAAGTTCCTATTTGCCAAAAAATCTCCTACTGGCTCAAGAAAACTGCAATTTTTTTTTTGTTTCCTTGCATTCTCAATCTGGCGTTACACAGTTGGTTGGTTGACTTAGGAGTGCTTCTTAGGTAACGTTTGGAAAATCATATGGAGAAGAGAAGTCTGAATGAGTGCTTGTCGATCCTCGAGTTCTAAGGTTAACCAACCAACTGAATTCTTCCTTTTTCAAAACTTTGGGTTAAAAGAGGATTTTCCCTAAAAAAAAAGCTGGCAAGTTCCTATTTGCCAAAAAATCTCCTACTGGCTCAAGAAAACTGCAATTTTTTTTTTGTTTCCTTGCATTCTCAATCTGGCGTTACACAGTTGGTTGGTTGACTTAGGAGTGCTTCTTAGGTAACGTTTGGAAAATCATATGGAGAAGAGAAGTCTGAATGAGTGCTTGTCGATCCTCGAGTTCTAAGGTTAACCAACCAACTGAATTCTTCCTTTTTCAAAACTTTGGGTTAAAAGAGGATTTTCCCTAAAAAAAAAGCTGGCAAGTTCCTATTTGCCAAAAAATCTCCTACTGGCTCAAGAAAACTGCAATTTTTTTTTTGTTTCCTTGCATTCTCAATCTGGCGTTACACAGTTGGTTGGTTGACTTAGGAGTGCTTCTTAGGTAACGTTTGGAAAATCATATGGAGAAGAGAAGTCTGAATGAGTGCTTGTCGATCCTCGAGTTCTAAGGTTAACCAACCAACTGAATTCTTCCTTTTTCAAAACTTTGGGTTAAAAGAGGATTTTCCCTAAAAAAAAAGCTGGCAAGTTCCTATTTGCCAAAAAATCTCCTACTGGCTCAAGAAAACTGCAATTTTTTTTTTGTTTCCTTGCATTCTCAATCTGGCGTTACACAGTTGGTTGGTTGACTTAGGAGTGCTTCTTAGGTAACGTTTGGAAAATCATATGGAGAAGAGAAGTCTGAATGAGTGCTTGTCGATCCTCGAGTTCTAAGGTTAACCAACCAACTGAATTCTTCCTTTTTCAAAACTTTGGGTTAAAAGAGGATTTTCCCTAAAAAAAAAGCTGGCAAGTTCCTATTTGCCAAAAAATCTCCTACTGGCTCAAGAAAACTGCAATTTTTTTTTTGTTTCCTTGCATTCTCAATCTGGCGTTACACAGTTGGTTGGTTGACTTAGGAGTGCTTCTTAGGTAACGTTTGGAAAATCATATGGAGAAGAGAAGTCTGAATGAGTGCTTGTCGATCCTCGAGTTCTAAGGTTAACCAACCAACTGAATTCTTCCTTTTTCAAAACTTTGGGTTAAAAGAGGATTTTCCCTAAAAAAAAAGCTGGCAAGTTCCTATTTGCCAAAAAATCTCCTACTGGCTCAAGAAAACTGCAATTTTTTTTTTGTTTCCTTGCATTCTCAATCTGGCGTTACACAGTTGGTTGGTTGACTTAGGAGTGCTTCTTAGGTAACGTTTGGAAAATCATATGGAGAAGAGAAGTCTGAATGAGTGCTTGTCGATCCTCGAGTTCTAAGGTTAACCAACCAACTGAATTCTTCCTTTTTCAAAACTTTGGGTTAAAAGAGGATTTTCCCTAAAAAAAAAGCTGGCAAGTTCCTATTTGCCAAAAAATCTCCTACTGGCTCAAGAAAACTGCAATTTTTTTTTTGTTTCCTTGCATTCTCAATCTGGCGTTACACAGTTGGTTGGTTGACTTAGGAGTGCTTCTTAGGTAACGTTTGGAAAATCATATGGAGAAGAGAAGTCTGAATGAGTGCTTGTCGATCCTCGAGTTCTAAGGTTAACCAACCAACTGAATTCTTCCTTTTTCAAAACTTTGGGTTAAAAGAGGATTTTCCCTAAAAAAAAAGCTGGCAAGTTCCTATTTGCCAAAAAATCTCCTACTGGCTCAAGAAAACTGCAATTTTTTTTTTTGTTTCCTTGCATTCTCAATCTGGCGTTACACAGTTGGTTGGTTGACTTAGGAGTGCTTCTTAGGTAACGTTTGGAAAATCATATGGAGAAGAGAAGTCTGAATGAGTGCTTGTCGATCCTCGAGTTCTAAGGTTAACCAACCAACTGAATTCTTCCTTTTTCAAAACTTTGGGTTAAAAGAGGATTTTCCCTAAAAAAAAAGCTGGCAAGTTCCTATTTGCCAAAAAATCTCCTACTGGCTCAAGAAAACTGCAATTTTTTTTTTGTTTCCTTGCATTCTCAATCTGGCGTTACACAGTTGGTTGGTTGACTTAGGAGTGCTTCTTAGGTAACGTTTGGAAAATCATATGGAGAAGAGAAGTCTGAATGAGTGCTTGTCGATCCTCGAGTTCTAAGGTTAACCAACCAACTGAATTCTTCCTTTTTCAAAATGGGTTGACTAGCTTAATCCTTTTCCTTAACCCTCTCTCTTAAGCCTTTATCACACGAGACCTAAACGTGAACCTGTTCTAGTATTCAACAGCCAAAGAGTTAGATTGTGATTCTCTCTGAAGATTCTTTTTTAAATGCTGGACTGTATTGGACAAATTTTTCAAAATTTCAGATTATATCTGATAGTTTAAGGACAAGCGATTAGTTTCATCGTGACAAAACACAATCGAAAATTTTCTTTGAGTCAGCTAGCCTACCGTGTAGAATCTTGCCACAGCCTCTTTTATTGGTAAAACAAGTGACAAATCTATGAACATGACATATACATAACTGATCAAGTATATGGATAAAGGGTTATAAATACTTCTGCAACAATTTGAAATGTGTTTGTGATAGATCACCTGAGTCTGGCTGCTCTCCACCTGATACTCTCGTATCAAACAGAGGATGAAACAGACCTGGAATCTTAAATGGCAAGTCGAAGGAAAAACTAACTTGAAGAGGTATTTTATCGTTCACCTACAATAGGAAAGTAATGGATGACAACCAACATGCAATCAAAAAAATTGTATGCTGTATGTTTAGTTCTCTAGCCATGAGAAATACTTTGCAGTAATCAATGAACTGATAAATTTGTTTACTGAGCGGTGCGCACGTACTGCAGTCTTCCGTTGTAGATTGCTTGCATAAATCTCAAAATGGTCATGTGAGCTTCTGAATGAATGTAATACAACTTATAAACTTGTGCTAGTTTTCAGAATGTGCTAATTCTTGCTTAATTAAAAGAGTTGCCATTATTAGAACTTTTTTCTCAACCAAAATTTTGCACCACCGTGAGGATGGATTGGTGTTACTCCGATTACGTCATCCTTGAAGTTCGGTGTGTACATGGTTAAATTTGAGATGGTTGATAATGTCCTTCTTTGCCTTTTAATTGTGAATTCAGGAGCATATTCTTAATTTTAATTCCAGCCTGATCATCAAAACTTGGTTGAGTTTGCCTAGGCTCGCTTAAACTCGAATAGCCCCTGACATAGCTTATCCGGATCCATCGTTGCAATCCTTTGGTTGATTTGGAAAGCAAGAAATCGACACATTTTCAACAGGAAGTGTTCGACGACGATAATTATTATCCATAGTTCAGCTCTACTTGATGAATTTTGCCTTCAGAAATCCTGCAGTCGGAAGCTTATCTAAGTTGCAAGCTCTTCTCTGCCTGCATTTCTCTCTCATGTTACCCTTTTACACTTTCTATAAGTTAAAATTTGGCTTAGGCCCTTATTCGGAGGGAAAAAATTTATCCCAAGCCTATGTATCAACGTACTAATCCTCTACTCATCGGGCATCCTCTTTGTGTCGGCAATCTTATTAAATTATTTAGTTAATCATCCCAAGCCTATATCTCCGAGACATTTCTAAATTTTAATAGGAATACCGTCCAATCCTACGGCTCTTCCACTTTCCACTTTCTTTAGAGCATCTTTAACCTCACTAACCATAATTTTTCAACAATATCTATAGTTTCTATCCTTCCCTATATGACCAAGTTCTCTCTGTTGCTCACTTGTTTGGTTATAATTAAACATTAAACAATTTATGAACGTAACTCATGCACCTCTCTTTTATTTCCGTTACTAGAACTCTTTGATCTTCACTTTTAATACACCTACCTAATATTATCCAAATCCCTACTTTTAATGCGCCTAAAATTGGTCCTAAATTTACCAAAGTATAATCATATGTAGTTTATCATAGGTAGGGAGAAATTGGTACTCAGTTCTCATATTTGTTTCCTCCTTTTTGAATACCAACTTGCAAATTTATTAGCCCGTTTGGAGACAACAATGGGATTGCTTGCTCTTTTCTTATCTTTTTCCCTCAAAGTTTCATGCACTTCATTAGATCTGATATTTACTACTTTCTACATTCCTCTTCCGTAACTATTTTCAACAAAAACAAACAACCAAAGTGGTGGTAAAAGCATTTCACTTTCGCACTTTCACCTTTCGCTTCCATCCAAGCAAACACCCACTAAATATCATTTGCATATCCACAGCGAAAACAGAATCCAACAACTTCAAACTCATCGATATGCCAACCGAAAGCTTGATCCTTCCACCTGTTTCGACTCGAATCGTCATTCATCTGCTTACTATCAGCAAGCATATAAAAAGACGTACTTCCAGACAACAAGCGTGCTACCAACGGACTCTGTATCATTCAAAAGACATCGCAAAGTTGGTAAATGAAACAACTTTGTACAAAGTTACCAGCAGATGCCCAAATTTAAAAACCAAGATAAAACCGTTACACCACTTAATGCCACAAAGTTAAATCTTAAGTTTTGTGTGATTCATTGCCACCTAATTGCAAAGAAATTCAACAATCACATACATCCTTTTAACTCTCACTTCAAACATAAAAATCAAATTAAATGGATAAGAAAATATAGAAAACATCCATAAATAAAAATACTACTGTGCATAGCAAGTTTTCCTAGATAAAGAGTACCGAGAAACACAGTAATCATAAATAAAACACAAGATTCTCTCCTTCAACTGAAGTCCAAGCAGTTTTCACACATAACAAAAACCAAGACCTCGACCTTTATGCACGTAACCTCATAATAAGTCACAAGAACTAAGTTTACATAAATGCGAGCAGCTAGCTTCCTCCAGCTTCAGACCCAACAACCAGATCTGGTACCTTGAGTTACGAATTATCCTCGAGCCAACAGAAAGATTACTGCAATTAAAATAGGCACACATTAGTATATAAATGAATGGTCCATTACAAAATCAAGAAAACCAAATACGAAGATAAAAACACTAGATTCAGAAAACAAGTGCAAACTTAAGTTGATTTCTGCATTGATAGAACAGTTTTGGACACAAAACAGTCCTAGGAAATTTGGCAGACCACTGTTTTTGTTTACATTACTTGCGTATTTTTCATGAAGAAGGGAATCAGCAGAGAAACACCGAAACATATATCCATGTACATATATTATGGAAGTGTTGGCAGCAACATAAAATTAAAGAAAACAATTTGCGAGACAAATTAGCTACTACAATGATTTGAAGGTAAATTTCAAAATAGCTGCAAGATGGGGCCATGCATGCATGCGTGCGTATATGTAATAGTATTGAATTGAGAAGCTCGGAATAAGGAGTTGCAGGGGCATGCACATTGATTACACTCAAACAGATTAGCGTACTACATAAAGTTCAAGAGGAAAATGGAAACAGCCACTGATGATATTGTGGACAAGTAGGCATCGACATCAAACAGGCTATAAGCAATAATGGATGCATTTGAAAAAAGGTAATCAAAAGCGAGAATCTTGTACCTGCTGTTGCTGATAGTTCCCATATCCTTGATATGCTGGATAGGCATACATGTTGGGATCTTGAGGTTGTTGGTAATTGTATGCATCATAACCTTGATTATTATACCCATAGTAATTATTGTTCCATTGGTTCTGATCTTGCTGTGGCTGGAAAATAAGGGGAGAAAGCAAACAAGCATAAAAGTCCCTTTAGTTCACAGAACAAGGCAGCTATAACACAACTAAATGCTTGAATAAAAAGCAAGATTGACCTGTTTGTTAGGGCTGCGACCCCATGACAGTCGAACGTTTTGACTCCCCAATTGAGTGCCATTCAACTTATCTAAGGCCTCCTCAGCACAAGCTCTTGAAAACAATTATTTAAAGTCAAAATAATATTAGTGAAAGAAAGTGATGTATATTCTGAGCAATGATGGTGAGAGAAAGAACAAACCTGTTAGCAAACTGAACAAACCCACAACGCTTGCCCACAGGTATTTTTACATGCATCAACTCCCCGTAAGCACTAAAGACCTGGCGTAGAAGGTCATCTGTAACATTTGGGTCAAGCCCACCAACAAATATCTACAGATCAAAGTGATATGTTAGTATCCTAACGCCCAGTCTTAAAGTTTCTATACACAAATTAGAACAATGTACCCACAGTTGTATTATTTGGATCATTCTCGGTGTCACTTCCTTGAGTACTCTGGTAAGAAGCTGCAAATAACATATAGGTGAAGTACTATATCATGGGACACGGAAAATATCATGACCATGAGTGTGGCTATTTAATGCACTAAGTAAAAGGCTCCTTGGAAGCCTAAAACATATAAAGCAAGAGCAGCATACAGGTGTACAGTCCTGTTACCTGATTCATCCGCCTTACAAAACAAGGAACCAGGGGAAAAGGGGGGAAAGGGCAAAGAAGAAGAAGAAATCGCACACAAGAGAGCAACAATTTCTTCATGTAAGCTAATGTAGAAAGAAGCTCAGTTGTGTTGTATTTATCATATTTATGACTAAACAAACTGAAGCATTGTCTTTATCAGGGGCATATTGATAGAAGCTAAATGGAAAGAGGAGAAAAACAAGGCACATCTTCCGGATCGAATTACTGATACTCTCCGAGGCATGTAAATCACTGCAAACCTGAACAAAAGGGGAAGAAAACCGCAAAGTGTATCTAGTGGATTGAGAACACCCTGTTAAAGGTAGATCATTTTGAATGTTAAAGGTAACTCGCATGTTTACATTAAGAGGATGAACATTAGAGGATAGACCAAAGCTGAGGACAACAGAAGCAGATGGCTAGGATAGTCATGTGACAATTATAAAAAGAAGAGTATCTAACAATTAAGGACAAAAGAGGAAAACTTTTTTGCACTAGCTACTTCAGCATACTTAATGAAACATACAGTAAAAGATGATCAAACTCCATAAGTAATTTACTGGATTCGCTATTGCAATCATTTTTCTCTGCTTCTTTTACCAATATATTCTGTTTGAACACTATAAATGATGGGAAATTCCAAGAATGCTACAGAGGAGAGATATCTAACAAATACTACATGATGAAGAACAAATTCTGATACAGGTGATGTAAGAATAAAGTAAAATTATTCTATACTTCAAAACATCAAGGATTTAAAAAAAATCATGCTTAAAAACAAAACGGTCTTAGAAAAAGAAAAAGGTAAGGGTGCTGATGTGAACAGACTTTTAGCTCTAAAACAAAACAGCTTAAACAGGATGCTTCTTGCTTCCAATAGGAAAAGGAAAAGGAAGACGATCAAGTTGTACAAAAATGCATATCAAAACAATTGAAACTGGGGCTAGAAACCACGTTAATGGGTATCTAACTTTGGAAGGAAAAGCGGCATAAATTGAAGTTCAGCAGCAAAGAACTTGATTAAAAGAACATTCTTTGCTGTGATGGACAACAAGGCAAAAATAAAACGAAAGAAAAAGAAAGAAAAAATAAAGGGAAAAAGAGACTTGTTTGTCTTCCTTTTCCTACATGAAGCTTCCTGTTTAAGCTGTTTTGTGTCAGCAACAGAAGTCTCGTCTTTTTCGGGAGGACAAGAAGAAACATGCACCAAACTTTTGTGATAAAAATTTTTATTCATGTTATCATTCGGACAAATACAAACATGAATCTACAATGACGACACCAATAACCACAAAGCCTTTAGCGGTGCTTTAGAAGGAATAAAAGTTCATGTGCAATAATTCAACAAAAAGAAGAAACAAAAAGTATCTAAATATGTCTTTAGTAGCGCTTTTGAAGGTAGATCAAGGAAAACAACATCGAAATCTGATATGAAAGGTCCTAATATTACTGACTAGTGGCAGCTCTTTGAATGTAAGAAACTGGAAAGGGAGACCAAGAGTAGTGTTAGGTTCTAATTCTGCAGAAACAAAAAGGGAGTTTGGAAGAATAGACAAGTTATGCACTTAAAGCTTATACCATAAAATATCACCCAAACAATAAGGTTAAAACCAAATGGTGACAACCTAAGACAATGGGCCTCACACTGATAGAAAAATGCATCACTTTTGAAGTTAGATATGGTCTATAAAATCCCAATATCAAGCCAATGAACTATTATGAGACTTAATTACTTCAGAACATTGTTAAATGATCCTTATTTGTCAAAGTTCCACAGGGGAAATGGCTTTGAACATATCAAATCAATTCCTCGTACTAACCGGAAATAGACAATAGTAACTTGAGGATGCACAGATAAGCCAAGCATGGCTGACACATGATTCAGCAGTGAACCAAACAAAGCAGGAAATTAAATGAAATACAATGAAATAACATGGAAAATCAGACTAATATGAAGACCCTCCAATGTGTTTCCTTACCTTTAGTCGGAGTTTGCTGAGACTTGGTTGTAGCTGGGCCAATCCTCATTGGCCTTGAAGAACAGTACATTCCATTCATTTCAGACATAGCACGTGTCTGTTCATTTAAATCTCCAAACCTAACAAAACCATAACCTTTGGAGTGGCCAGTGCTCCTATCAGTAACAATTTTAGCCCCCTTGACTGAAGGATAGTGGTTTTTAAATGTCTCCTGTAACAAGTAGTCTGTAACATCTGCAGCCAAGTCCCCTACAAATATAGTATAATCAGGACCATCATCTCTACGCTTCTCACCAGCTGAAGCCCAATTTAACCTGAAGGGTTGATCAAGATTAGGCATCGGTTGACCATTATATGTCTGAAGAACCTGCTCTGCAGTTGCACGAGTTGCAAACTCAATAAAACCATAACCCTCCGATTGTTGAGTCTGTTTATTTCGGATAACTTTCGCCGAAACAAGCTGCAAATAGAGTTGAAGTGATACTGATAAGGAACAAGGAACAAGGAACATACATAAATTTAAGAGAACATAAATGAATAGCACCAGAACTGTAAATCATTAGAACTGACTGATCATCCAAAAAAAGCAGCTTGAACCCAAGAGCCGCCTTGCAGATGCAGGTACAGATGAAAATGCACACAAATAAACCTTAGGACTCCTCTCAATACATACACTATCAATTTTTTGTTCATTTTTCTACTAAAAAAACAACACTTATTTAAACTAGGGTTTTTACATCAAAACCACCTAAACTTTTGCCCAAATTGATGGTTACCGCCTACATTTTTTTTTACAAAAAACACCTAAAATTGCTTACATGCTTTCAATGTCACACCAATCTATGTTTTTTTTTATCGTTACCACCTAAACTTTTATCTCTCTCATGGTTACCACCTTACAAAACACAACTTGATATGTTTGCCACCTTACCTTCATAAACTTTTGACATGAACCACCTTCTATGTTAAGAAATCACAATTACCACCAAAAATTTAAAATATGTACCAAGCATAACCACACATGAGACATTAGCTAAAAAAAATATGCAGTTTTGATGTGACAAAAAATAACATATCTCGGTGTGACATTGAAAGCATGTAAGCAATTTTAGGTGGTTTTCGTCAAAAAAAATGTAGGTGGTAACAATCAATTTGGGCAAAAGTTTAGGTGGTTTTGATGTAAAAACTCTTTAAACTAACAGTCCATCATAATTACTTGTAATATTGTTTAAAAGTTTAATTATATTAACTTTGAAAATGTCATAACTCAGGGACTAAAACTGCAAACTTGCCAATAGACTTCAGAACACAAGAACCATTCACCAAAAGAAACATTACTAAATCCAACCTTATTTTAGAACACTCAAAAAAAACCTGGGCTAAGAATGTAAGACCTTTAAGTAAATCTGTGTTGCATGGATACTTATAACATGAAGCAGTACACGTAACTCACATACCTTACCCGTAATGGACAGTGACATTTATTGGACACTCCTTGAATAAATGCATACATTTATCCAGACATGTACAGTGTACTCAATAGTATAATACGTTTCAATTTATAAAACTTCTGTCATACAGTTCTTAGACCTAAATCCCACACTTCACATCCACTTTCTGAGATTTAGTTTATAAATATGATTTCAATGGACTGTTTGTGCTTTGAGTTCAGAATTATGACTTCAACTCATATGTTAGGTTGTGTCCCCATACCCTGTCTTTTACATATTTGTCGTGTCCTATACCCATATCCATATCCATACCCGAGTCCATGCTCCTGTGGTGGCCATATATTCAACACAGCTAGCAATTGTCGTTTTTCTTTGTAAATACAAGATTTTGCTTTTAGTACTTTAGTGGTAATACATGGTTTTGGGCTGAAGGAAGCCCGGAGTTCCTAACTTCGAAATCTATGACAGCATTTTTCTTTGTAAAGATAAGGGAAATAATTTTTAGCCAAATTTTGCTTTTTTTCAACTCATGTTCTAATGTTGCATTTCTGTCATTACTGTTATAAAGCTTAAATATTCAATCATGGTTCATTCATCTACAAAACCCTATGCAGAAATCTCTGCTTAACACAAATTAGTCATTAAAACTCGTACCTGCTCCGAACTTAATTAGCCTTAAAAAGTTATCTTTTCCTACCATAGTGGCCGATATAATGCAATGTTGCTCGAAAGCATGCCCAGCAAGTGGCATTTTTTGCGGAGTTTTTTTTTTGCATATCAGCCCTAAATTATTTCTTATTTGTATATTAAACCCCAAATCTTTTTATTTCCAATTTATACCCCCAAATCTGCAAAGTTATTTTTTAATAACACCTTACCCTTTAAAGTAGGATTTTGTCATATTAGGCCATAAACTATTTACTAACTTTCTATTAGACCACCAAATCTTCACATTTCTAAATAACATGCCCATATATAATGTTTCTAGAAGTTAATCAAACTATGTTAACAATTAAGTATTTAAGTCAAGAAACTAAAGGTCGCTAAGGAAAAAATTATAATATCACAAGACCCCTTTATTGTACTTGTTACTAATTCTACTTATACATGGCCAAATTTTTCCCAATGCAGATAAATTAAGCACTAACCGCTAAAATAAATCTTAAAAATTCCTTGAAAATAAACCCTAAAACTTAGCCGCAAAATCAGCAAAACGCAGATCAAACAAGATTTATACCTCCCCAGTGGAACCAAAGCAGCTATTGAGAAAATTTTCATCTATCCAATACTGCAAGTCCCCAATCCACAGCGTCCTGACCTCATCCGAGGCCGCCGGCTGGGCCTGGGCCTGGCCCTGATGGTAGTGGCCCATGGGCT